AATAAAAATTTTTTAAATGGGAGAATCTCCTTCTCAGTAAAAAGGCCATAAATTCGCTAGGTTAGTTATTTTGGATCACCCTAATATATATATATACAAGAATTCCTCGTTTAAAGAAATAAGTATAAGGGGGAAACTTTTCCGGAAAAACACCCCAAAAATAATCCGAATCCGCCGCTGAGCCTGTGCTATTTTTGGTTATGTACTTGAACATGAAATAACACATTTTCTTAAAATTTGTTAGGCATGTTTGCGCTCCAATGCAACGAATATATCAAGATAAAAACTTGCCCTCTCACAAGTATTGCCACTGATAAAACTTATACACATTTGGCAAACAAAATGCCATGTGATAGGCAATAATTTTCGCCTGTGAAGACGTGTCGTAATACGGCTTCCCCACGCCACCGTGAATTACTTTGAAGGCTCCTCCAATTACCATCGCGAATTCCCCCATTCTCACGGGCATATTAGGAGCGTTCCTTATCTCCCAGAAATAGTCAGAAAAAGTCCGAAGTAGTCAGATTTAGTCCAAAAAGCGTTCCTTAACTCGGAAATGACAGCAAAAATGAGAGAGCAACACTCAGTGAGAGTGACTCTCATCAGTCCGAAGGAGTCAGATTTAGTCAGAAGAATTTTTTCTGGCAAAATCCTGAACAGTGTCAAACTCAACTGAATATAAATTAACGGAAATTAAAGAATACGTAAAAAGTGAGAATAATCTAAAAAGTAAAAAAAGTGAATTGAAATTGGAAGGAGGCAAAAAATAATTTGATATAGTAAGTGTTTATTGTGCTTGTGCTTGTGTGAATGTGTTTTGTACATACATTTCCATTCTTATTTGACGTTAGCTTTGTTGTTGCCATTCTTTGGACTAAAAATTTGGTTTTTTGCGTTCCTTTACTTTTACTGTTATTCTCTTTTAGTGAGCGCATTTTGCTTACGCTCTGGCATTTTGACACTTTTCAGATTTTAGTCCAAAAAGATAAGGAATGAACCTATTCTTAATTCGATTTGACAGTTCTATATCTCTGTGTTTTGTTTTTTTTTTCTTCGCTACAAAATTTATGCAAAATGTAAGTTATTGCTTAAAATGTATAAGCTTCCGTATTTAATTGGTGATGTACACATGTAAAGCTTTACTTTTCGTACTCAGAAAAAGTTCCAGTTTTGATTTGTGAACTGGTTTCGATAAATTTCCGATAAAAATTAGTCACGGCAGCGATTTCTTCGCAATTCACATGGTAATTGGAGTGCGAGTTATGAATGAGAGAGCGAACTACGTAATTGGAGTGCCGTGGGAAAGCCGTATTAAATATTGTTGATTAAGGCTAAAAGGCGTTTACA